AGCCCAACCAAGTGATTAAATTGTATAGGCTATTAGGTTCGGGGCTTTTTTCATCTTCCGGGCTGCCTGCGCGCAGTACTGGAGGTGGAAGATGCCTGGACGTGTGATGTTAATTTTGCCTGTGATCCTTTGAATAAACCAGCATGGTTATATTTTTTATATATCCAAGTGGTCTGCGTCGTCTCTCAGAGTTCCTGGTTGAAAGAACTGGGTAATATCTTTCAGTGTGTATCTAAGAACATTCTGACATGACATCTAGTGACATGTCATGACATTACACATAAGAAAATATTATGAAAACAATTATGGTTACACATATCATAATAATAACAATAATCCTCCTGCCTACTGACAATCAAACTTTTTCTATCTAGTTGTCCTTGACCATAAAGCACCCTGCAAAAAACTCATGAGAATGACTAAGCATTTAACAGCCTGAGCTAGACATCCTGTCTCCACTAAACATTTCTAATGGAACAAATATCTAACCAATATCTATCTGACTAAAAAATACCTAACATTATGTATGGTAATAACAAAGGGCAAGTAAACAATATAAGGCTGAGAGAACAGAAAGTAAAGAAATAATGTGCAAACAAACAAAGGGATGTGCATTAGGAAACAAGATAAAAACAAAATAAAAATTACTTGTGTAAATATATATATGGTGGTCCTATATATATATATAAATATATACATAGCAGACAGGATAGCTCAGTGGGTAACACCACTGAACCCCGGTCAGGGCATGGTCAATATCCTGCCTGGGTCCTTAGGCAAGGCCCTTAATGCTATCTGCCTACCTCATCTGTAATGAGAGTTGGAAAAATTCGAGTCACACCAGCTCGGACGTCACCCGGGTCAACATGGTGTTGAGGAACCAGGGCAACCTGATGAGAAGTGGGCTACTGGAACAAGACATTCATGGACAAGAGAGGAGAAAAGGGAACTATTGGAATGCTACTACACAAGTAATCCCAGTGAGAGGGGTTGCATGCGGAGGATGTGGGTCCGTCCAGCTGGATCTTCAGCTGGAGAACAATGTGTCTTATGGATCCAGCTACTTAACTTGTTCTCAGTGAGCCACAGTTTAACACAGTGTGTGTGGTAGCTTCTGCTACCCTACAAGGTCCTTTCCAACGTGGCTCTGACCAGTGAAGTTTATTCACCTTTCGATAGATCCAGCTGTCCACTGCAACTGGTGTCGGTTCCTCAAGTTGGTCCCTGCTCAGGATTTCAATAACCTGTTCAAAGACACTCATCGCCACATTGTTCAATCATCTGACATACTCACTCAAGTCAGCATGCTGCAAAAGAAGAGGTGTTGAATCTCTAGGCATAACAGTTAGAGGACAGGGCATCTTTCTCCCTGTCAGGATTTCATGTGGGCTTACATTAAGCGTCCACGGAGTGGACCTGAAGTTGAACAATAAAATAGGTAGAGCTTCAACCCAGGTTAAGTTAATGTCTGCGCAGATTTTCATGAGCCCTTCTTTTATAGTTCTGTTTGCACGCTCAACAAGCCCTTGAGAGGCTGCATAATAGACAGCCCCAAACTTATGTTTTATCCCAAACATCTGCTCAACCAGACGTAGATCATCGTTTGAGAAGTGTGTTCCATTATCAGTTCTGATAATCTCTGGTACCCCAAACCGGGGCGATCACTACCCTAGTGAGCCACTTGATTACCTCTTTACCTGTCTCTGTTTTTGTGGGTACAGCCTCTCCCCATTTGGAAAACGGATCCACACAGAGAAGTAAATATCGTTTTCCTTCGACTCTTTTGTCAGCTCCCATACCTGTGAAATCAACAACAATCTCTTTCCAGGGAGCATCTGGAACTGGAAATCCCCCTAGCCCCGCCTTCAGCACGGCTCTGGGGTTGAACTGATTACATGTCTCACATGCTGCAACAAAGTACTTGGTGATATCCCTCAATTGTGGATGCCACCAATTTTGAGAGATCAGACTATTCATCTTAGAGCTCACACAGTGTCCTCTACTGTGCGCCTCTTGACACAGCAAACTAAGTAGGCCTGCCGGGGCTACTATTTTACCTTCGTGGTTTCTCCACAGTCCTGTCTGATCCTTAGATGCCCCTTTGCCTACCCACGCCTGCTTTTCAGTAGGAGCAGCTTTGTTCTGTATTTCCCTAATAGTCTGCAAGCTCAACTCTGTCTCACAAACATGATCCCCTTCTGCGGGGCCTTGACTCATCTGTTTAGCTCCCAGAGCTGGACCTTCTGGGTCCTGAGTGCCTGTCCTAGGCTCCTTAAATGAAATGGTCATGGCAATTCACACCTCTCAGGTATGAGGCCATCTCCATGGTTATCCAAACCTGTCCCCTCCCCCTTGCTCCTACACTCGTGTATAGAGATGTAGAGTTCCTTGTTTTGGGCAAGTCACCAATGCAAAAATAATCCATGATTTACTGTGAGTACATAAACACAGCAACAGGGCCGTGCACAGACATTTCAGGGGCAGATGCTCAAGTTAAGAAAAAGGGCACTCCCCTCAAAGTTATTTATTAAAACCTACAGTAGCACATCATTTATTTATATGTATGTAGTGTATATATTTAGAAACTAATACATTCAGGCTGATTTCTATGAAATTATCTGTTCACACAGAGACCGTGTCTTTAGTAGGCCATTCATTATTTGTAACACAATATAGTGATAGTCATTGTATTACAAAAGTCAGCCCCACCAGGCTGTAACTGCCAGTGGCAGAGCCACTTTTTCTGCAAATATGGACTATTTGTCATTTGCTAATGTTCTAATATTGTTTAAAGTGTTGCAGGTACTGTACAGACAGATGAGGTGAAAAATATTGAATGCATATTTATTTTTTAAGTTGCCTGACAAAAAAACTCACAAATTGTTTTGTTGAGGTTATTTGTCACAGAAACATCTTTTCATATAACAGTACAAAATCAGTATATTCTCAAAGATGACACACAAAATGTCAACAAAGACTGAACAGTAAAGTAGCCAGTGTTGTAGTCAAGCCCTTGGTGTTCAAGTCTGAGTTAAGTCTTGAGTCCCTCGTTTTCACGTCTGAGTCAAATCTCGAGTCCTCAGTATTTGAGTCCAGTAGGGGGGGGCGAGGGGGGGGCTTTAGCCAATCCTGGGCGGCAATTGGGCAAAGGCAGGGTACACCCTGGTCAGGTCGCCAATCCATTGCAGGGCACCATTTTATATTCCAAACACTATAACAGTCTATTGCAGAGTTCATGCTAGACTTTCTCCTTGTCCATCATTTTGACAAACAGGGTAATAAAAATTCATAATTTATTATTATAGCAAAGGCCACTTAAAAATACTGCGGCCAGTGTGTGTAAACAAGGAAACATGAAAAACCATTATATATAATTTATAGAAAGGTGGAATGTACACTTGATGGAAGTGGATAACACATTGATACAGCATAATGCAAATAAACAGGTTTTAATATCAACATCTTATGCCAAATTATTATAGACTATTAAAAAAAAAGATTTCTCCTATTTAGCCTCTGATTCTAAATGCAGTCAATGTTTGATTCTGATTCCAAGTCTGAGTCATCAGTGCTCAAGTCCAAGTCAAGTCACGAGTCCTGGACTTGAGTCAGACTTTTGTCCGAGTCCTGGACTTGAGTACTACAATATTGAAAGTTGCTCCTACTTAGTCCTTTTTAATTTTCATTATATTTATATACTATATATGCCATCCCTGGTAGGCTAGTGGTTAAGGCACAGTGATCTCCCCGCTGTAGCTTAGGTTCCAATCCAGATTGGGCATCCGGTGTAAAGCACGTGCCAACTGTCAACATGCGAGTCGGCAGTGTGACGATTCGCTGTGGCGACCCCTAAAAACGAGAAAAGCTGAAAGTGACTTTCTATATATTATATTTATTACATTTCTATTTTTCTTGTTCCTCTCTTAGCTAGTTAGTAGCCAACAGGGAGTGAGATTACAATATAAACTGCACAGTACAATAGTAAATACAGGACCAGACCGTGGCCAAATCCAGCCTGTCTTATCTAGGGTGTCAGTAAAAATAGTCAACACACCTTTGTTTTAAACTTGTTGTTTTATGTCTTTGAACATCTGTTACTTAAACCTGTCTTCTTAATTTTCTCCAGGCCTGAGCCTTGGAGAAATGCTTTGTTTTGGATCTTTACTGTACACCTTACTGCAGATGTAGATTTTACCTAAGTTGAATAATAATTAACTTGAAGTGCTTGAACAAAACTGAACCTACATGATCACAGTATTGACTCTGATGTTTTAAAACTACAAACTGTTCTCTTTTTTTATTTACATGAGGTACATACAGTAACAGATTTTTAAAAAATTGTTTTTGCATGTTTTCCTTTCCCACACTGCTGATATTTAGTTTCTTTTTACTTTTTAAAATTAACTTTTAACTTAAATACCTGGGTAGAGATACTCATCTCTAAATGAAACCAAAGAAGGTTATATACTTATCCACAGATGTTTTAACAAATTTTGAATGTTTTTTCCCACTGTGTTCCACTGGTTTTTTATATGTTGTTCTGGTACTCGCGCTGCCAGATTTTCACTTTTTTTTACTACTTTTTTTTTAGTGTGCAGTTAGAAAGTGGTAGCCTATTACAGCAGACTATCACTAGAAATATTTATAATTCTAGAAGCACTGGTATGTGTGGTAAATGAAAATGTGATCACTGAAACAGAGGAAGATGGGTCAGCTCTGCTAGGAGCAGTTGCTGCCCCCAGGCCAGAGTATCTGGGAAGTGATTTTCCTGCATAACTCTGAAGGAAAGTCAACTCTCACCGTGAACGTTCTTGTACCGTTCAGCAGTTGGTTGCTGAATGTCCCCAAAACTGAAAATTATTTTCTGGGAAGTTACTTTCCAAATCCAAAGTAAAGGAGGGAGAATTACTGTGTATAAAATAGTGGTTATGCCCTTCGTTAATTCATGTGTAGAGGAGGTTGTACCACTGCAGTTTGGCAACTGCCACTTTCTTTGGAGTAGCACAAAAAGGGAAGCCTTGACAGTGAGGAGGCAGCTTTTTCTGAGTCAGACTTGAACATTCAATAGACTGAGATCTGAATATCAAATGTAATACGACAGTTTTGAATATGTAAAGAGTCTTGCTGCTGTTTGCCTGTGTCTTGAATTTCTGTTTTGTTCATCAGAACAATGGCAAGCAGACCACATTGTCCTCTTCTAGCTCATCTCTATCCCATGCTCTAAGTCCATGACAGGTCTCGTCTCTGGTGTGAAGTCCCTGCCTATCTTCTCCACATACCGCTGCAGGGTGCTGTAATACTGCTCACTTGTGGAAAAGGTGTAGTGTGCAGAGATCTCCTCCCATGCCTTGTGGTTGGGGAAAGGGAATGGATTAGGGTCCTTGTTCTCAAAGAAGCTCTGCAGGTTTCTTTCAGCCAGCTTGGTGGCATAGTCAACAGCAAAGGTGTCAAAGCGTTCCTTCTCTTTATCCATGTAGTGTTTCCAGAATGTGAGCTGCAGGTAGCTGACTTTGGAGCGACAGTTTTTGTAGCAGGTACCCAGAAGGCCCACAGTGATAGCGATAATGATGATACTCCAGCCCAGGATCTGCAGACATATGAAGTGATAATCACTCAGCTCTAGAAAATTCCTCTAGGGCATACATATATTTACATAACAGATATACAGTATAATTCCATTTGCATTTATGTTATGATTTGGCCATTTCTAAAATAGGTAAACACACACACACACACACACACACACACACACACAAATCTTAAATGTGTTTTTCCAATACTGTATTCTTGTTGGTGGCATAAAAGCATTGAGGGTGTAAAACACCTCCACAGAGAATAATTTGACAAAATAATATCAACTCAAAGTTCACTTGCTTGCATTTTCTGAACTTGTGATCTCATCTATGAGTTTGCAAAGTCAGAGGAAAAGCAACTTTCAATCTTTAGAGTGTGAAAAACACAAGCTTTACTTAGTAAAGATGGTTGAATGGGGCAGGTTAGAGGGGAAAACCTGTAACGTGTTACTTTTGGGCCTGCCCTGTATTATAGCTGTGCTAACTGATAATTAAATAATAACACCCTTAATTTGCATTCAGGTAGTGAAACCAACTAGAAGTGCTTCATATTAAGTCAGATAATGAGGACCACGATATCTTATTTTTAATTACAACCCTGTATTAGACTCATGTATCAGAATGTTTTATCATAACAGATTATCTTAAAGCCTGTGAAAACAGCTGTATAATGCTTTCCATGGTTCTGGAGAAGCTTTTTGAAGTGTGGGGAAATAAATTTGATGACTTCATAGTGATTAGTATGATGTCATTTGGGTTATATTAGCTACAAATTTTTAACAAAAAATCTGCAATTCTGAATTTTTTAGAACATTCAGAATATATTAGCCTCTGCTGCTAGTCTGTCTCTTGTCCTACAAATGTATGAAAGTGGGGGAACACAAAGTACTCCTTTGTCCCTTCTAAAAATGCACTGGTTTAGTCATTGAAAATTTGTAGCATTGAATCAAATCAAATAAAATGTATCAAATTTTATTTGAATAGCGCCAAATCACAACAAAAGTCATCTCAGGACACTTTACAGTAAGGTCTAGACCTTACTGTTATCACTATTACTACAGAGAGAAAACCCAACAAATCCCCTTTGAGCAAGCACTTGGCGACAGTGGGGAGGAAAAACTCCCTTTAACGGAAGAAACCTCCGACAGACCC